ACCAAGGTTGTATTACTATAAAGTTATACCCTTCAGCCTAAAGAATGCTAGTGTGACATATCAACGTATGATTCATGAAGTGATGGAACCTATATGTAATGAATTCAACCGTACTTTTGTGTCGTTCCTTAAAGAATATGAGAATAGCTTAAGTCTTAGTGCTTCTTCTGTCACTCCTTGAATCTTAAAGTCACACACTTCTATAAATGACTTTAAGTGAGACTGTAAAGTGAGACTGTGGACTTTTAGCAAGGGGAGCTCCAAATTGGCCCATGATTTGCAGAATTTGGAACATCACTAGTTTAAGTTCAAAATGATTTGCCTCAATGGTTGGTTTGACAATTTCAGGGTTCAAATCATTAAATTTTGGTGCTATATAATCTTTATTCCTCTTGTTCCATCATCTGCCATTAGAATGAGATTATTATTTACATGACTATCGTTCTACACTAGTTGCACTCTCGAATTTGCGGTAGGATCTATGGTGGAATCACAAGAGGATTCTCCCCTTCTAATATCACCAATTTCTTCTTTAGTATGATTTCTTACAGCTCTTCTTCTTTGCCTCAAAGTCCTTTCAATCTCAAGAGCAAAATCTACACGTGCTCTATTGCACATCCCTATATATCACCTACCACAAAGACTAATAAGATAAATCAGTCTAAAGAGTCAACCAGAGTGTTGTAGCACTATATTAATAAGTAATTTGTTAGCTCTCTAAAAAGAGTCATCGGCAACAGCGTCAAAATTTTGATATGGGCTAAAATATGCACAAGCGCATGCAGTCGTAACAGTGTAATAAAAGAAATATTCCAAGTTATTGAATCTCATGGACTCTATAAAAAACAATCGAATTGAGTTCAAAACAATGCCTTACAGAAATTGGGATTGGAAGAAATATTGATTTAGTGTAATGGAATCAGAAACATACTAGAAAATAAATAATAACATAATTAAAACAAGAGATGAGGTTGTCACACAAGGAGAAGAGCAATTTTCAACTATACGAATTCCTAGTTCCCATATATGCTATAACGAATGCAGTAGCATGTTGTTGGACTGTATTGACTTATGAAAATCTGAGGAATGAACTGCATTTACTTTCTCTCTCAAGGATCTATGAGGTGGTTTCTAAATAGTTTCATATCTCTATGATTTCTTTTGCAACCTTCCCCTATTTTATTCTACCCGTAGGACTTTATGAACTAAACAAGTTATCTTTTTTAAAAAACCCCCCTAATTCCTATTTCTTACCTCATTATTGATGTCTTCCCCCTCGAGTCTATTTGTAGTTTACTTAGTTTATCAAGTTGAATAAAAACTAACAATGACATACATAATAAAGAGGACATCAAGTAAATGTATATTAAGAAAAAACTACAACAACATTACAACATATGAAGGAAAAGGTTCATCACCTAGTTAAACCTTTAGGGGCTTAGCTACACACGGTAGCAATTTGTTCAATAAAATAAATTGAAGTACGACTTAACATAAGTAAGGATTGAAAGAAACGAAAGTTCTCCATTTCGAGAAAGAATGGATTGTCTATTGACAATTTAAAGTTGTGGCAATTCGAGGGGTCTTACCAAAATATGTGAGATATGCTATTATGCGCTTCCCTATAACCAGGAGAAAATTAGTGCAAGTATACACTAAATAATCGATTGTAGTATCAAACAAAGTCATCTCTACAGGGATTACAGTTTTACTTGAAATAGTAAATCAGAATACCAAAAAGTAAAATTAAAAATAAAATATTAAAGTGGTATGAATGCTGTAACAGTAAATGAGTAAGAACAAAGATATTCTACGATAATATGCTGGAGCATCCGAAATGGAAAACATATAGAAATGCGAAAAAGATGCGATATAAAGGTAAATCGAGGGGGAATCACTCTGGTCTCACTCACGTTTAGCTATGCTCTAGTAAACTCAAAATGCTGAATGTCCAAACAAACATGGCTCTCTCCCGCGATATCCAAACATGTTTAACCCCAATTCCCGTTGTAGTATAAACAAGCAGTACATACTGTTTATAGGCACGGAAGAGTAAGTCTGATCCCTGAGTACTCACCATTCTACTTCAAAGAGAGAAATTTAATGTAAATAGAGGCAAACATGTTTATACTACAATGATGAGACTCACCATTCTACTTAAAAGAGAGAAATTTAATGTAAATAGAGGCAAACATGCAACACAAGGACTTTCCCAAGCCTCAAGTGAGCATATATAGAAAACTAATAATGTTGTCCAAACAAAACCAGTAAGATGAAAGAATAAAAACACCTCTATTAAATGAGCATAAATATGTATGAGTTACTAAAACATAACTAAACGAGAGCTACAACGAGTTCATCCCCCGGAGGTGGGGTTTAGTTCATGATAAAAGAAAATAGAACAATGGGTAGAGAAGAAATGAAGCGCATTGAAAGAAGATTCTGTAGCAGCAAAGGTTGCCTCAGCTCAGTGACGAAGCACGAGCCAATTTCCTCCTCGAAAAATGGGCGAGAAATGTTCTCCAAATTCGATGCCCAACTTGATTTCTGTTTTGGGGCTCTCTTTTGCGGCTAGGCACCATTCTTCTATTTATATTGAGTCCTTAAAATTAAGGCAGCACCAGGAAACTATACAGGCGCTGTAAAAACTGGTGCAAATCAGTTACTGCGTAGTCACATGTGCTAGGGCATCCGACAGACACCAGGCTCTAGCATCGCAACTCTTTTAGTTAGGCTCCAGCATAGTCATCCCAGATTCTTCAATTCCTATTCAAAAGCATTATAAATTAAGCTCAACTTTAATAAAATTACAGATGTTAAGAATTCTAACACAAAAGAACTCAAGCTTGCTAATTTCTATTGATTTCTCGCTAATTTGATAAGGACTCTCACATTTACACAAAAAAATTGCCCAAATTATATCACAAAACACTATCGTATGGAGAGTTATCACACTCCCAAACTTAAAACCTTGCTTGTCCCCAAGCAAGATTAAATCTTACATCCCAGAAATATGAAAAGCATTTGCATCTATTGAACACAATCTTGCTTCAAGTCCTACTTTCTGCCTTCACACATAATGCCAGCACACACTCAAGCCTATCAACCTGCTTTTGCTAAAAACATCTACAAGAGAACAGCTAGATTCTTGTTCCAACTCTAGCAAAGACTCTTTCCTACAGCTCTAACATCATCCCATTTTCCTTTTCAAAAACATCAATTCACCTAGAGTTACACTTCTCCAACTCCTTCTCGCTAGCCTAAGGTAGTACCATTTTATTACCATCATAGCTTTTTAATTATAGGCTACTAGCCTTTCCTAGTCCTATAGCCTCTTTAAGATTTTTTTATTATTTATTTATTTTTAGGCTGAATTACAGGACTAGAAAGATTCATAGTTATACATTACAAGCTCAACCTTACAAAAAACAAAGCAAGCGCACACACCCCAAAACTTAGAATGTAGCATTGTCCCCAATGTGACTGAAACCATGATATAGGATGCTCCCTCATACCCCCAAACTTAGAGCTAAGAAAAATGGAGATACAGAAAGGGCATTTTCGCAAGTTAGATATAGATGGTGTAAAGGGACGTCAAAAAGGGTGTGAAATAGAAGGATTAACTCTATGGTAATACTAAAGTATTGTATGGCTTGGATAGGTGAGCTATGGAAGCTTCTCATCTAAGTGTTCTCTGTTTTTGAATTGTACTCACAGGGTAATGCTAGGGCTTTCGTACTTGGACCTAAGCTAGAGCAAGAACAAAAACAGTCCTTACTCGCAAGCGGATGCTTTAGCAAAAAGCTAAATTCAAGACTAAAGAGGCACTAGCAGCATTATTAATTCAGAAGACAGGACAAGCACAAGATGCACATAACACTAGAGACAAAGACAATCAGACTTTTATCCATTAAGCACTCAAAATATAATTGGGGGAGAGGTAAATATATCTAACTATAGAAATCTAAAGGTGAATGCATGGGAAATTAAACCACAAAAATTAAGACAAATGAAAATAAACGCATAAAGTGAAAACCTAAATTTAAAATATCATGGGGGTGAGGTTATTCAATAGGAGCAAAAGGGGAAGAGACTTTCCAATTGTAGGTCAATCTCCTTCATCTTCTTTCTCATACAATGAGTCACCCGTGGGCTTATCTTCCTTTTTGGATCCATCATATTTTTCCGTCACTGGGGCAGGCTCTTGAAAAATAGCTATAACATACCTCTTCCCCTCAGTTGAGGAAACAAAAATATCCTTTTTTACCTTTTTGTTTTTCTTGGAGGCAGTGACTGGAGTTGCTTCCACTTGTTTAATTTGTACTTCAACGTGTGATTTGGAAGGTTTTGCCTTTTTCTCTTTGCTGCATGATGATTTTTTCAGCCCTATTTTTTGTTTCCTTGTCCTTAATGTAGGACCTTTTAGAGTAGACTCGATGTCGGGTGGCTCTTTTACAAGTAAGCTTGGCGGCTTTTCCTCTATAATGATGTGCACTTTATCTACCAGTGTTGTGGTCTCTATTAGAATAGTAACACCTTCCTTTACCATCGTATTTTTATTCCTATTACTAAAACTTTCTTGAGCTTCAACATCTCTGGTTACAGCATGCTCCAGCATAGCTCTTCCACTGCCACCCGACTGCTCCAGCATAGCTTCTGAGCTCAGCATCTCTATCAATGTTTCATCTAGAATTTTCAGCACAAAGCACTCTCAGATTCTGCTGGGTACTTCATGGAATTGTTGACAAAAAACTTTACTTCTTGATCTTGAACTCTCATCGTGAGTTCTCCCTTGTGTACGTCCACTAATGCTTTCCCTGTGGCTAGGAATGATCTTCCAAGGATAATTGACACTTCTTTATCTGTATCATAGTCAAGTATTATGAAATCAGCAGGAAATATAAACTTATCTACAGTGATGGAATGGTCTGCTAGTTCAAGAGTTATAGTGCTAGGCATAACTGCTCTCGTGCCTAGCTTATTGTAAACAGACAAAGGCATCAAATTGATGCTTGCTCCCGATCGCATAGTGCTTGCCCAATCTTTTGATCTCCGATTGCAATTGGTATCGTGAAGCTTCCTGGGTATTTCATTTTCTCGAGTATCTTGCTGGATAAGATTGTACTGCATTCCTTGGTTAAACATACCATATCGAACTCATCCAACCTATGCTTCTTTGTGAGAATATCCTTCAAGAACCGCACATATGTAGGCATCTGCTTTAGCGCTTCCACTAGTGGAATATTGATACGCAATTGCTTCATCACATCCAAGAACTTTCTAAATTGAGTGTCTTGGTTCCTTTTCTGCAACCTTTTGGGATATGGAGGCATAGGGGTATATTCTTTGGGCACGAATGATCCAACGTTGACTGTCCTGAAAATTGGGTTGACCTCTTCGCTTGTGTTGCCTTGTGGTTCCACTATTTGCTCACTACTGTTCACTAACTTTGTGATGTTTGTCATTGTTTTTCTAACTATCATGGTTATAGATGTCCTGTCTACCTCACTTTCGTCTTCTGGATTTAATACATTATGGATTGCTGGAACATTTGGATCTACATGAGTTAATGTCTTCCTGCTTCACAATGTAATGGCCTTACATTGCTCCTTCCCATATCATTTTGGCTGTTTAATGTCAATAGGAACCACTCCTTGTGGGCGATTCTTCAATTCTGTGGCTAGCTAGCCTAATTGCATGTCTATATTCCCCAAGGATGCAGCTAGACTTTGAATAGTAGTATCATTCTTCATCATATAAGTCTCATTCTTTGCCATATATGCTTTAAACATATCCTCCAAGGTCATAGTCTCTGGATGCTTTGGAGCGGCCTGTTGATTCTGCCCAGAAAAACCAAGTGGGTATAACATCTTTTGATGATATGTTGGAGCATTACTGGTTCCTGCGTTTTGTCCCGATTGATTTCTGCCTCAGTCAAAATTAGGGTGATTTCTCCAACTCGGATTATAAGTGTTTCCATAAACATTTCCCATGTTTGGCTGTGGATTACCCAAATAGAACACTGAAGGTGGGTTGCCTGGACAATCTTCAAAATGATGCTCCCTCTTGCAATATGGACATGAGACATTCTGCATACTGTTCACTTTAGCTTTGGAAGCTCCAGCATCTGAGTGCGATATGCTCTTCATCCCAATGTCTGCTAGTTTTGAAATTTTCGAATTTAAATTTGCCACCACATCATCATTTGCCAAGCCCTTAGATGTCGTCGATGAAACGGCCCTGGACTTTGACCGCTGGTGCTTATTGCGCGAGATTTCTTCTAAAATATCGAAGGCTTCAGCATAATGCTTTAACAATAGTGCTTTGTTTGATGAGGCATCTATCACGAACTACGTAGCCTCATTCAACCCATTATAATACGTTTCAATCTGAATGCAGCGCCACATGCCGTAGTGTAGGCACCTCTGGAGCAATCTTTTGAATCTTTCCTAAGACTCACTAAAAGATTCTCCTGGGAGTTGTTGAAAATTGTTTATTTTGCTCCTAAGCTCTGCATTTTTTATGGTGGGAAGTATTCCATTATAAACTTTTAAGCTAAGTCGTTCCATGAAGTGATAGACTCAGAGAGTAGTGAATCTAACCATACTCCAGCAGTATCCCTTAGAGAATAAGGGAATAACTTTAGGCACACAACCACTTTACTTACTTCTTCTACCTTGGATGAATTTGCCACTTGCATGAAATACTGTAGGTGCCTATAGGGATCTTCTGATGCAAGCCCATGAAAGATCTGAAGCATCTGAAACATTGCGGGCTTTAGCTCAAATCTATCGGCTTCAATAATAGGATCTACAATCACTGGGTTGAAGTCAAAGAATGCTGGGGCCGCATAAGCTCTAATTTCCTGCTCAATATCATCTCCGAGCAGAATAGCATTCAGAGGAGGTGTTAGAGCATGTCCTCCAGCTACATCACCTTGTACTCTCTCTACTTTCAACTTGGGTTGAATTGGAGGATTCGGTGGGTGATCCATTTCAATTTATTCTCTAGGCTGGACTCTTTGTTTGGCCCCTCTCCTTCTAAAAGTTCGTTCAATCTCTAAGTCAAATCCAAATTCCAAAGTAGGAAAATTATTCATTCACGACACAAATCAATCGAAAGAAAAGTGAGAGAGCTCGTTAGGCACGTATTCAAAAATGCTAAAATCAAAGTACGAAAACTCAATCCCCGGCAACGACGCCAAAAATTTGTTCACTTCCCCACAACTAGGAGAAAATTAATGCAAGTATACACTAAATAATAGATTGTACTACCAAACAAGGTCGTCTCCACATGGATTACAGTTTTACTTGGAGTAGTAAATCAGAATACCAAAAAGTAAAATTAAAAATAAAATATTAAAGTGGTATGGATGCTCTAACAGTAAATGAGCAAGAACAGAGATATTCTGCGATAATATTCTGGAGCATCCGAAACGGAAAACAGACAGAAATGTGAAAAAGATGCAATATAAAGGTAAATCGAGGGATAATCACTCTAATTCTCTCACTCACGTCTAGCTATGCTTTAGTAAACTCAAAATGCCGAATGTCTAAACAAACAAGCAATACATAGAGTTTATAGGCACGAAAGGATGAGTCTCATCCCTGAGTACTCACCATTCTACTTCAAAGAGAGAAATCAAATGTAAATAAAGACAAACACGCAAAACAAGGACTTTCCCAAGCCTCAAGTGAGCATATATAGCAAACTAATAATGTTGGCCAAACAAAATCAGTAAGATGAAATAATGAAAAGACATCTATTAAATCAGCATAAATATATATGAGTTACTAAAACATAAGTAAACGAGATCTATTGCGAGTTCATCCCCCCGAAAGTGGGGTTTAGTTCATGCTAAAAGAGAATAAAACAATGGGTAGAGAAGAAATGGAGTTCATTGAGTAAAGAAGATTTTATAGCAGCAAAGGTTGCCCCAGCTGAATGACGAAGCACGGGCCAACTTCCTTCTCCTTTAGCTTCCTCTTAAAAAAATGGGCAAGGAATATTCTCCAAATTCGATGCCCAACATGATTTTCTTTTTTGGGCTCTCTTTTGTGGTTAGGCACTATTCTTTTATTTATATTGGGTCCTTAAAATTAGGACAACACTAGGACGCTGTACGGACGCGGTAAAAACTAGTGCAAATCAGTTACTACGCAGTCACATGTGCTAGGGCATCTAGTAGACACCAGGCTCCAGCATCGCAACTCTTTCAATCAGGCTCCAACATAGTCATCCAAGATTCTTCAATTCATGTTCAAAAGCATAGAAATTAAGCTCAACTTCAATCAAATTACAGATATTAAGAATTCTAACAGCACAAAACTCAAGCTTGCTAATTTCTATTGATTTCTCGCTAATTCGACAGGGACCTTACATTTACACACCAAAATTGCCCAAATTATACCACAAAACACTCTCTTATGGAGAGTTATCAGCTATCATTCAATTATGTTTTTTCTTCAATGCTATAGGTAGTAAATTTATCGATTCCTCCAACTTCAGAACTTGCAAGATGAAATTGTAGTCACTTTATGTTTATTTGAAAAATATTTTCCACCAACATGGTTCATCTTACTGTGCACCTAATGAGAGAAGTGCAGCTGTGTGGGACTGTCTATTTATGATGGATGTATCCTTTTTAGTGATACATGATAGTTTTAAGCATTACTAAGAAACCAAAATCAACTGGAATGATGTATTGGAGAGCGTTACATTATAGAAGAAACTATGAAATTTTGTTATGAATTTTTATCTGAGATGGATTCAATTGGATTGAGTTCAGATGTAAAAAGTGAAGATTAAAAAAAAAAAGACCATTATCGGCTGTGTCTTACATCAGACAGGGAAAGCAACAATTGGATCAAACTCACCTTTATATTCTAGAGAACACATGTGATGTACTTCCACTTATAGAGCATGTATACACTTGAGTATGCATTCATCAAAATTGATTTCTATTGTATTTATTTATTTGAATAATGTGTGTGATATATCATTTGGAATAAGCAACATCTAAAGTTTTTGAAAATAGTTGATAGAAGGATGTCAACGAATGGAAAATGGTTATAAGATAAACACGATCGTACATTCATTTCTTTGCTATGTGAACGGTTAATATTTTATTAATATATTTTAAAAGGTATGCATTTGTTATATATAGATTATAATTTTAGATCGTTTACATAGGTTTCACTAGCACTTGAGATCCCAAACAACTCTATATCACCTACTTTAAGATGATTATCTAATGGTCCTCATCCAAATGTAGGCACGTACGTTGGTTATATGGTTGATTATCGTCCCAATCACACAAAAGAACGAGATCAAATAAACAATGTTCAAAATGGTGGTGTTAAGTTAGTTGCCAAGACCATGCAACTTGCTAGCACTCAAGATAAGAGTCTTGTTATTTCAGACATGACATTTTATGGAGTAATTAAAAAAATATGGGAGCTTGATTATTATGATTTTATGTTTGTGTTATTGAAGTGAGATTGATGTTATGAGGGGGAAAAAAAGTAGCCACATGTTAAACAACCAAAAGATATACCGACGCGGTCATGTCAGCTTGACTGTATGGGATGAGCCAGGTCGAGCTTGCCTTACTGTTACTACCATCAATGCATAGAAAAGGCAGCATTGAGGGAGATAATCTCAACCTTCCTTACAAATCGATTCGACTTCAATCACCTATAAGAAAGTTAGATAGTCCGAATTTCTTCTAAATACACTAAGTCTTATCCGACCAATAATACTAACTTAGGTATCAAAGTGCTTACCTTTGTTTGTAGGTCAATCGACTTACGGAAGGGATAAGTTTATTGCTTGGACAAACAATTCCGTGCACGATAACATGAGACGACTCACAAAACAACAATGATGAGGGCAGCTTAGCAAGAGCCAACATCGAATTGAAGAATAGAGCTACCATTAGGAACGATGCTGGATGCCCTCCCTTAAATCAAAGGGGCAGCCACACGGGTTCATGAGGTGGTCGTTCGGAAGCAAATTAAGTTGATCACGTAGAGGACGAGTTAGTGGGGATGTGGGTCGAACTTGGTCAGTATAGAGTCGAGCTAGAGGCTGTATCGCACCTGTTCGAAAATGGCAATACTAACCCAACTGATGCGTGGCAACCGGCTGCCACCACCAAGGGAAAAGGAGCTTCTGACCTTAAGGTCTAGAGCCTAGAGTTATAGAGAAACTCCTCACAAGAAGTAGAAACTGGTCAGCGACAATATGGGATCTGACTGGGTCCTCAAAATCAACACAACCAGCGAAGAGCCGCAACTAACGATCAACAGGCTTATCAATAGCGAGACCTACGCGATCAATTGAACATGACATCAGCCTCTGCCCATTAGCTAGCCATAGATCTTTGTCAAGTGTTGGATGAATGGGCACCGGCACGGAGCCATCCCACTGAATAGGTCTCCACGACCCAAGTAGAGAAAGTGCCACCTTCTCTCCTACACGTATCCAACACACCGCCACCTTCAATAACGGACACATCGGTAGTCACTCAGCAAATGAAGGTTCTCTTAGAGAAACTACAGAGCGACTTTGAGAACTTCAAAAAAAGCAGCACACTGGGCGAGACTACTATGGAGAAAGAGTAAATGGGAGGATCCCCCATTTATGCTCGACGTAATGGTCTTCCCAATGCCAAACAAGATTAAGAAGCTTTATTCTTTTGTTTAGACATGCATGTTTCCATAAACTTGCATGATGGGATGATTTATCATATTTTTCTATATGACAAAAATAATAGAATACATTAATGAAGGAGTATTAAAATCAGTTGTTAAATAACATATGTAGTAAATAACAAAAATAAAAGCTTGTAATACTTACCAAATCCTCTGTTAAATTTTTATAACCTTTATGTGATATGTGATGGTTATATTTATTGTAAGCTCTCATTTCTTGTTGTGCATGACTAAATTTCTACATAATAATGTAAAGCACACATTTAATCTAAATATAGTTGATCAACTTATACTATACTCAACGAAATTGAATTACCTGGAATTATTTTGATAATCTTGCTCGAACAAAAGCATCCCAATGAGCCTGCTCGATATGCTCATATTTTTCTAGAGAGGCTAAGCAATGTGGTTGGTTCTTATATGGAATGATAAATGTTTGAGTCAACTTGTTCTTAAAAGTCTTATACTTTCTCCCAACCGATTATAAAATATTATATCTTGCTTGAGGGTTAACCATAAATTTCATCTATGCCCAAATTAGAAAAAAAATGGTCAAAATTCATTATATAGAAAACATGTGGCAGTTAAACCATGATCTAAAACATACCTGCACACACTAAAAAGTTATGTCTTTGAAGACACGTGAGACTTGTTTCCAGTGACCATATGTGATACGCAACAACCCAAACGTATGGACTTTTTGAGCTTCTAACTACTTAAATCCAATCATATAGTTGGTTCAACTCAAAAGGGAAAGGTTAGATGGATTACCTTTGCAGTCGATTAGCAAAAGTAAACAGAATACCTACTGGAACATCTCAATTGTATTCAACTTCTAAACTCAAAATGTGTTCAACTACATGAGGTAGACGCTTATTTATAGGCCAAGGCTAAAGACCTTTCCAATATATTCTTCTAAATTAAAATAAATCCTAAAATCTAATGGAAAATAAAAAGTAAAAATCTTTCATAACTTAAAAAATATGACTAGCCTAAAATGCTAAAGAAATAATTAAAATATGTAAATTAAATCTAAAACAAATAAAATTAAAATAATTTGGTTCAAATCAAATAAAGAAAAACCTATTCCTTAAATGACATTGAGTGCATGGTAAGGCATTTTAGCGCCAAAGAGGAAGGGGTGCGTGCAAGGGCAAGGCAGCATGAGAGGTTGGCTGTGCGTGTGAATGAGGGGCAGTTGGCGGAGTGTTGGGTATGGGGCATGTGGGCGACAACATGTGCTATCAGATGGACAATGAGACGAGGTGAAAAGAGGTTG